TACACCTCCTCCTCCTCCTCCTCCTCCTCCTCATCTTCCTCCCATCTCGTCTTCCTCTTCCTCCTCCGCCCCATCTCTGCCCTCCTCCTGTACCTCCTCTACTTTCTCTTCCTCCTCCTGCTCCTACCTCCCACTTCACACCTTCCTCTCCCTCCTCCTCATCCTTCTTCTTCTCCTCCCCCTCCTCCTCCTCCTCCTCCTCCTCCTTCTCCTGTCCCCCATCTCATCCTCATCATCATCAGCATCACAATCAACATCATCAGCATCACATCATTAGGCTCATCATACCACCATCACCATCGCCATCACCATCACCATCATCACCATCATACTCATCATCATCATCATCATCATCATCATCATCATCATCATCATCATCATCATCATCATCATCATCATCGTCATCATCATCATCATCATCATAATCATAATCATCATCATCATCAGCAGCATCATCATCAGCAGCATCATCATCACCATTATCATCACCATCATCCTCGAATTCCTCCTCCTCATGATTTTCCTGTCTCAGGTCCTCCTCCTCCTCCTCCTCTTCCTCCTCCTATTTCTCCGCCCTCTCCCCCTGTACCATCTGGTCTCGCCCCTCCCTGCCCCTCTCCCGCCTCCGAGCCGTGGGGGAGGGCCCCAGCCTTTCCCCCCCCCCAAGCCGCTCGGCCAGTCGAGGGCCTGGCGATTCCTCGTCGAACCTTATCTCCCCCTCCTCTTCCTCGTCATCCTCGTCATTCTCCTCCTCCTCCTCCTCCTCCTCCTCCTCCATCTCCTCTTCCTCTTCCTCGTCATCATCGTCATTCTCCTCTACCTCCTCCTCGTCCTCGTCCTCCTCCTCGTCCTCGTCCTCGTCCTCCTCCTCCTCCTCCTCCTCCTCGTCGATTCCGTCGATTCCCCGTGTCAGGTGCCGGGGCTCCAGTGCGGCCTCTGCTGCTTTGAACCACGACTGCACTTTGGGCTTGGCCAGCTGGTATTGGATCTCTGCTGGTGACAGCCCACCGCTGGGACCGCTTGGATTTCTGTTCATCTCCTCGAAGAGCATCCTCAGACGGTCGGCGTACACCTGCTTCTCTCTGAGCTGAGACTCAATTGTAAGCTCCAAATCTTGTTGAGCTCCCTCGATGGCGTTCTGGCAGAAGACGCCTGCAAGAAAGCTGCGAACCCACCCAGGACTAAGAACCGAGCGGGACTCAATTCAAGCTAGCCGACCCGAGCTGGTCCCTCGACTCGAACTGGCCGATCCGAACTGCGCCATGCAACTGGCCCGACCAAGCCGCATCGAACCGACGGGTCTGACCTGGACCGGCCGCCGAACTGGACTGGACAAGTACGGAAAAATCGGTACCATGCCCAACAGCACATGTTGTCCCACACCGACAGCGGCCGGTGTTCGGCAGAGGACCTACGTCCGCAACAGCACCGACCGCGAATCCCTTTCAGAATGGACAGAAGCTGCTGTCGGTCTTCGAATCTCAATTCCGGTACCAATTTCGATCGTCATGGCCCCTACGATGGACCTTCCCGGTCCTGGGACTCCCCCCCGACCCCGGGACCCACTTGGTCGGGACCCCCAAGTCGGGACCCTTCGGTCGGGACCCCCACGGTCCAAACCCCTCCACTGGGGCGTGGCCCAACTCCCGACCGTCTGCGCTCAGCTGCACCCTGCCGAACAGAACCGAACCAGCCGAGCCGGACTGCGGTCTGAACCAGACCAGCCGAACCGATCCGGACAGAGCCAGGGCCATCGCGCGCCTGTTACCACGTTGAGTCCGCTGACCCTCGCTTGCCAGGGGTGAGAAGGCGATTGGCTGTCCCCCTCCCCCATGTCTCCCATCCCCTGGGGCCAAGGCAGGGGGCCCCGGAGTGGGAGCACGAGCTCGTCAACGCACCCCCGCAAACTCTCTGGAGCTTCTAGAGAGCCCCAAGAAAGCCCAATAAGCACAGCGACAATCCAAGAGAGCGTCGAGACGGCCTAGGGTAGCGCCGCAACAGTCGAAGATGGTTTCAAGGCAGCTTACGAGGCCCCCAAGACGGCCCAAGACTGCTCCCAGAGGGCCGCCGAGAGGGCCCCAAGATGATCGTCCCATTCCTTGGAAAACGTACAGTTTCAACATGCACTACTTCTTCGTCTTGATAGCGGCGATTACGGCCCAAGGATCCCCCAAGATCGTGCCAAGACGGTCCATGAGGCCCCCACTAGGGCCCCAAGACGGCCCAATAGAGCCCAAAAAGGGCCCAAGAAGGCCTCAAGACGGCTCCACGGGCCCCTAAGATGGCTCAGGAGGGCCCCAAGAAGGGCAATACGAATTGACATCTGGAGTCTTTCCCTCCGTGATGGTCCTAAGAGCCTCCAGTGACCCCCGAGGCGCCCCAAGAGGCCCCCGACCAGCTCCCCAAAGCCAATCAGATGCCCCCAAGAGCCCTCCAACAGGGCCCAAAGAGACATTCCAGGAATCTAATATGCATTCCCGAGGGTACTGACCCACGGGCCCGGCACAGTGACACGAGTCTCAACAAATTCACTGTTCACTGTTATGGAGGTGGACGGAATGGCGTGATCCTCTTGAATATGAAAAAGTATACGAAGGCTATGTAGGCCAGGAATAGCAATGACCACACCGCGTTCCCTGTCCTCTCGAGTGGATCGGTGAGCTCGTACCAGCTAATACCTCCAGAGACTGCCCACCAAAGACTCAACATTGACCGGTAAAGATTCCCGTAATACGAGATCAGAAATTCATCCTCGACCCGCGTCCCAGCGTCAGTATGCTCTGTCACAGCTTGAGTCAGGATGACTCCGAAGGAGTATACGATTGTGAAGAGCAACAGGAGTGCCCAAAAGACAGACTTGCCAGCGCAATACAGAGAATGCAGCAGCAGCCGCAGAGGCTTCAGCTGTCGAAATGTTCGGACGAGCCGAAGAAGCCGAGTGAGGCGGAAGAGGCGCAATACCTTCGATGATCCACCATGGTCAGAGAGAGATATATCCCTGTCTGAGACCGCATACATGGTAACCTCTAAAGCAACTTCGCCAAGCGCCAGGAGCAGGATGAGAACGTCAAACAGATTCCACACTCTTTCGTGGAGGAAAAAATCAAGTCTGAACACGTATAGCCTCAATACCATTTCCACAGTGAACAAGAACGTGAGAACGTAGTTCGTTATTGACAGGGCCGTTATCCATGTCTCCGAGCCAGGACCTCGCTCGGACAGGCTAGCAAGCAGCTGGGTTTCGATGCCGATCATCACTGTGCTGACCACGATCAGGCAGGCGATTCCAATACTGAAGGTGCGCCCCTTCACTATCGAGGCGATAAGCCTGTCGTTGTTCGGGACCGTCCCTTCATGAACCGACCTTCTCATGGACCCGTGCGTCAACCTGACGGCAGCTCTGAACTGCCTCTCACCCTTCACTGACAGGCTCGCTGACGCGATCGGGCCATGCTCGGCGATCGAGCTGTGCCTGCTGGAGCCCTCGCTGATCCTTGCTGCGGCCCCCGGGGAGCTCCGCGGGGCACTCCAGCGATGCAGGCCTGCCAGGCGCGGGCGCGCGCGCATCTGCGTCAGCGACGTGGGGAAGGAGAAGGACACCCTGCCTGGCCGCGAGGCGGTCTCGGTGTCCTTAGGGGGAAAACAAACCTACCTCGCTTTTGACCACCCTCGCTTCCAAGAGATACCAAGCGATGCCAAGCTACGGCCTGTACAGGTCAGGTCGCTTGACGAGGAGGCGCGTGGTACGACTTGGTTTTTCCTGGAAGCGACAGCGGGGTGGGTAATTCACGCTCTGAGTCCTCGCGTGCTTGCTGCGAGACTCGGGCAAAAGAGACCCTCTGGTGGCTCTCGGAGGACTTGCGGCCGTCACCACGGTCTCCCGCTCGCTGCGGAGCGCCATCGCCCTCCGTCGTCGGTGTGGACTGCCTGCTGTAGTCCACGTGGTCGGCTGCCACGAAGTTCTCCGAGTGGGACGAGTATCTGGGAAAGCTGCGGGCATGGCGAAGGCACTGGATAAAGAACCATCGGATAAGGAACTCAAGGTCTGGAAGTCGGTGTAACTCCTATCGTGGATTTCCCATGGATATCACCGCCGCCCTCATCAGGGTCTGAAGCCTCCTGCGCAACTCCCCTAACCAACGCCCCCTCGGTGCACCGTTTACTCCGCGGACCTCTCCCGGGGTGCCTTCTGATCAGGGTTGCGAGGCGAATGCGGCCGTGGCCCGTGGCGACGAGGGCCTCCCGGGAGGCCCAAGACGATAGACGAGCGCGAGGGCAGTGCAGCAGGACCGGCGCGTTCCCCGCGATCCGAGGCTGCGAAAACATTGCAACATCGCAAGAAATCACAAGCGGAGGAGGAGGAGGAGGAGGAGGAGGAGGAGGAGGAGGAGGAGGAGGAGGAAGAGGAGGAGGAGGAGGAGGAGGAGGAGGAGGAGGAGGAGCGAGGAGGAGGAGGAGGAGGAGCATCTTTCTGCAGCATTTTCCGACACGGAGCGACCCGTTTGGTGTGGTCACGGGGCCCGGCCGTCGACAGACGCCCGGAGGGGAGAACATGGCAACGGCCGGTCGTCGAAGCCGCCGGCCGGAAAAGAGACCTTCCTCTGAAGGACAGATATCGGCCACACGTAAGAGTGACCTTCGTGCAATATCGGCCACACGTAGATATCGGCCACACGTAAGGGTTTTTTTTGGCAATCCTTCGTTCAAGTGAGGGCGGGGGGGCACGACTTGTTGCCCCTCCCGGCGGCAGAAGCAGCAGGCATCCAATACAGGGGTGTTGTTGGGTAAGAGTGACCTTTGGTGCGCGGCTTTGGGGGGGCCAAATCCAGGCGCGGGAGCCGCTGCTACCGCTTCGCGTTCGGCCATCTGGGGGCCCATCCGTGCCCGCACCAAAGTTCACTCCGGCGAAAGGTCACTCTTACGTCTAGTCGAAGATAGCCCTCCCCTGAACTCTGCCGGGGTACGTTCAGATCACGACTTCAAGTCACATCCGGCCGTGG